GGGTCTTACACTTGTTAGGCAGGTACTCTACTACTTGAGCCACTCTGCCAGGCCTTTAATGTTGAGTATTTTTATTTAAAAAAAATTTGTTTTTTGGTGGTCCTGGGTTTTGAACTCAGGGCCTCACACTTGCTAGGTAAGTGCTCTACCACTTGAACCACTCTGCCAGCCCTTTTTTGTGTTCGGTATTTTTAAGATAGGGTCTTGCCTTTGTTCCCCTTGAACCACGATCCTCCTGATCTCTGCCTCCTGAGTAGCTAGGATTGCAGGTGTGAGCCATCTACGCCCAGCTGTGTTAGGTGTTTTTGAGATAAGGTCTCCCAAACTATTTCCCCGAGCTGGCTTCAAACTGCGATCCTTCTGAGCTCTTCCTCCTGAGAAGTAAGGATTACAGGTATGAGCCACAAGCACCCAACTAGGAGTTTTTTTAAATTACTGTATTTTGTTTGTTTCCAAATTAAAAATATATTTAATGCTGTTTACATTATATTTAATAGTTACCATGTAATTAATGCAAGTGATATGAGTTTCTGTTTACCATAGTGAAATAGTTTCAAGTACATCTGCTTTTATAAAAGGAAATTTTTTAAAAGAAAAAAATAAGTAAATTGAATAGGAGATAGATGCAATTGTAGTTCTCCTAGAGTATGCTAATGAATATGAATTTGTTAGTCATTTATACTTGTTTACCATGTATAAATTTTAATTGTCCAAGGACACAGTTGAAGCTTTTGAGGCATAGGAATGAGTAACATTTGGAGACAAGTACAGCATAGGCTTAACTATGGGAAAAAATTAATATATCCACAGAATTACAGTTAAATTATCTTTATGTTAAATAATGAACTGGGTTGGATGTATAGCTCAGGGGTAAAGGCCTTGTGTGACATGCATAAAGCTTTGAGTTCAATCTCCAACACTGCAAAAAAAAAAAAAGTTTTTCACTAATGAACTAAAAGATGAGAAAACCTTATTCATTCTTTTGACTTAGTGGCTCTAATCTACTGAGCAGATACTCTAAGCTTATAGTTTGCCACAGTTGGTACTAAAGTAATTAACAAATTGTTACTCCAAACAATGTCAAAACAGATCTGTCTAAATAGTTCAAGTGGTAAAGCACCTGCCTAGCAAGTGCGATACTCCTGAGTTCAAACCCCACCACCATCAAACCCTCTCCTCCCCAAATAATAATGTGCTCTCTTTTTCTATGAAATTAAAAAGCAAAACAAATATACTTGATAGGTGGGGAGCAAACTGAGAACATAGAGTGAGAGCTTGTAAAAACTTCTTGATTGGCACCAGGAAGGATAAGTTACATTGGGATGAGAGATGGGGCATGGCTCAAGTGATGGATTGCCAAGTTTGAGGCCTTGAGTTCAAACTCCAGTATCATATGGAAAAAAAAGAAAGATATATATTGGAAAGAGAATTGGATTGGGCTCTGGAGCCAGACAGGACCAACAGCTTATGTTTTACTGTTGTGCTGGGTGCTTTTCAAAAAACTTACTATGGAAATTCTCAGTCGTTCCAAAGCAGAGGTTATTGGGTTAACCATCATGGCTCCCATCACCCACTTCAGCAATTATTAACTCATGTCATCTTGCATCCTTCCCAGACACCTGGAGTGTACTGAAGCAAATCCTACATGTCATCCTTTTAGCCTTCAATATTTCAGTACAAAGACTCCTTTAGAGGATATAAACACAATTCTGTTATCACACCTAAAAAGATTCCTTGATATTTAATATCCATTCAGTGTTTAAATTTTTCCTGATACTTGTACATACATGCATACACATGTACTTTTTAATAGTTTGTTGAACCAGAATTCAAATAAGAAACATGATCATGAAACTCACCACTGTTTAAAATGAAAATGTAACGGAGGAGGTGAACTAGTTCAGGGTACACTGTATACATGTATGGAATTACCACAATGAAATCCCCCTGTATTATTAATGTATGATAATTCAAAAATAAAAAAGAACTCTTACTGCTTCTTTCAAAGCAATAAAAAGGAAAAAACATATGTGGGTTCCTTTACCTCACCTTCTCCCATTTTCCTTTTAATTTATTATTACTCAATTATTGTTATTAATTTGGGAAAGGTAGTATTTCTTTTTACAAAGGAAGAATCTCAGGCCCTGAGGGTAAATAATTTGATAAATATCACAGGGCTAGAGAGTACCTGTGTTAAGACTTTTCATTGCTATAACAAAATACCTGATACAATTTAAAAAAGGAATGGTTTATTTTGCTCATGGTTCCGTAGGTTTCAGTTGTGGTCACATGGCTCCATTTTATCTGGACTTACCATGAGGCTGAATAGCTTGGAACGGAGTGTGTTGTGGTTCAAAGCAATGTACCTCATGGTAGACAGGAGGCACAGGAGACAGGAAGGGGTTAGGGACAAGGGATATCTTTCCAGGGCACATTCCCAGTCACCTCCTTCCTTCAACTACGCTCTACCTCCATTTTTCTACCACCTCCCAATAATGATATCATGTGAATACATTAAGGGATGAATCCATGAATGAAGTTAGAACTCTCGTAATCCAGTCACTTCTTAATGATTGAATCCACCAGTTGGGAACCAATTCTTCAACACATGAGCATCTTTGGACACTTCATGTCCAAACTGTAACAGTGCCTTTAGCTGAAAGTGAATGCAGGCCTGACTGATCCAGAGCCTGAATGGCTTTCTGTAGTTGGACAGTTTTAGATTCAAACTCTGGCCATGCCACTTTGCTAACTCCCTGCCCTCCCTCCTACCCAAGTCTTCACTGTCTTAAGTCACATAATTAGGTAGCTAGGGGAATGCTTTGGGCTCAGCTACCCCATGGAATTTGAGGACTTAACTAGAATAGCTTTAAAAAAATCCTTTTCTATCTCTTTAGATCCATCCTAAGAGGAGTTCTGAGGTTGGCCATAATACACTAGAGGCTCCATAGCTCTCATAGAAGAACTGCAGCATTCAGTATGGTAGCCACTAGCCATAAGTAGGTACCTCAGTTTCAATTTAAATTAGTTAAACTTAAATAAAATTAAAAATTAGTCTTTCAGTCACACTAGCCACATTTCAAGTGCTTGATATTAACATGTTGACTAGTAACTACCGTATTGAAAGGGGCAGATAGGGGAACATTTCCATCATTGCAGAAAGTTCTATTAATGCTGAAAGGTAGTGGAGGCAATCATCTGTGTTTCGAATTCTGGTTAAAATTGGAGGACCAGTTTCTTTTCCTCCCTTGAAAGGGAGTATGAATTTAGATGATCAGATTTGAGAGAGTGAGGTAGGAAGACTCCAGACTTTGAGACCTGAGCAGTAAACATTTTGTGAGGTTAGAAAAATAGTACTAATAAGAGGGAAGAGACAACTACTAACTGAAACAAAATGTGGTGCCTCTTTTTCCCTTCCCATCTTCCAGACCCACAGTGCACTAAATCACATGGATTGCCAGAAATCCTTGGGGAGTGATGGCTCTTAATCTTTTAGAATTGTAAATAAAATCCATCCTGGCTCTCCCCATTAACTGAATGGCTTCCATTGGGGTCCAAAAGGTAAGGGGACTTTTCATTATTTTTCTATGAGTATAATGGCAACTGTACAGCCGGACTCAATATTTGTGAGTTCTCTCTGTTTATTCTTATTTTTCAAATTCAATTTCTTTCTTTCTTTTATTCTTTTTTTTTTTTTTTTTGTGGTACAGGGGTTTGAACTCAAGGCTACACCTTGAGCCACTCCGCCCTTTTTTTGTGATGGTTTCAAACACTGAACCTCCTCATCTCTGCTTCCTGAGTAGCTCGGATAACAGGAATGAACCATCAGCGCCTGGCCTTATTTTTCAGTTTCTGTATCCTGTATTGGGGTATTGTTCAAGAAAAACAGAACTAGACGTTTTTTAAATGCACGACATATTCAGATTTCTGCAATATGGGAGAGAGAGACTGTAGCATAAGCTAAGCTCAACTTTGCTAAAACAAAAAGCTGGGAGTTTTTTAAACACTAGGGTGTGCAAAGAAAAGTACTTAAGACCTCAGGTGGGGAGGTTTGTCACTGTGATTAGCCATCCCTGTTGGCTAATTGGCACTAACCAAAGTTAGCCTCCTACTCCACAGAGACTGGAGGCAAGCACCTTATTTCAAAGGGATGAGCCCAGGTCCTTGAGAAAGACATTTCTGTGTTGTATAGAAGATTTACATCTCAAGGGGCAGAAAAGGATTTACAACTTTTTGTTTTCTAAAGTAAATGATCTAAAAATAGTGAAGACAGGGCCTCTAGTCAAGTTTTGGTTGAGACCAACAGGAAATTCTTTTGGCATAGGTGAGCCTTCTCAGGCATTTTAAAGGTGTGGAATCATCTTAGGGACATGGCATTGAACTGATAGAAGAGGTAGAATCTAAGGTGAGTCTTGAAGGATGATAGGTGAACTTTTTTGTAGTACACTTTATCATGGTATTTTCATGAATCCCCATCACATTTCCACAAAAATAAATTGCCATTTCATGATTTAATTGTTGACTTGAAATTTTTATTTTTTTAAGATACTGCCCAAAGTTGGAATTTTTCTTACTTTGACTCTCGATTTTTTGGTTGTTTCTCAACCACATCTCTTCAGACTAAATGTTCTAAAAAAGCACCTCCCTCTTTTTGCACAAGTTCCTCTGCCTGAAATACCTCCCAGTCCCCTTACTCCTCTGCCCACATGTACACCCTCTGAGAATCATTTGTCCTTCAAGACCCAGCTGACATGGATGTCCTTCTTTTGCTACCACAGTATAGACCTTCCTACCTTTCCTCTACTGTAGCTGCTTTGTTAGCATGTACTGTCAACTCCCTGGTTCTGTATCTGGTCCATAAAAAGTACCTAATGTTTGGCTAGTAGATGTGATTACATGTAATTAGTTCTGAAATGTGTTTTCTAGTGTTAAGAACTCAGGTGTCTTAATGTGGATAGGTGCAATACTTTTTTTTTAATTGAATTTTTATTTGTTCTTAGATGTCATTAAGAGGATCTTCACCAGTGACAATTGTACCTCTTCCTGGAGAGCAAGTACAGGTTCAGGGGGTCATCCAGACAGCTCAGTCTTCTGTAATTCACCCACCACTCGTGCAAACGGTACAGAAATTCAAAGATAGTGGTTGAGAGTGGGGACTTTTATACCCTAAATTTTTTTTCTTGCGGTACTAAGGGTCGAATTTAGAATCTCGAGCTTGCCAGGCAGGCATCCTGCCAGTTGAGCCATGCCCCCAGGCTGACCTGGACCATAAACCACCTGTTTGTGCTTCCCCACATAGCTGGGATGACAGGCCTGCACCACTATGCCTTGTCTCCTGAAAATGAAACTTCCTTAAGGGAAAGAATCCTTTTATCTCAGTGGTATCCTTCATGGAAGAAATGGGGTTTTTTTGACAGTACCAGGGTTTGAACTCAGTAACAGGCACTCTACCATTTGAGCTGCACCCCCAGGTTCTACTGAGTAGCTGGGATTACAGACCTGAACCACTGCACTTGGCCCTCATGACATGAATTGTGAAGCAAGGGTAATGATTCTAGCAAAGAAAGAAAGAATCTACCTTATACTTTATAGAGGTCAAATAAGAAAATTCTCTCATAGTAAATTTCATACTTATATCTATCTACCTTCATGTTAACACTTGACATTAGGAAAGAAAGCGCCATCCTCAGCTCCTTTTCTTTTTGGTTCTTCCCATTTTATATTCTGTCTCCTTTGAGTCCTCTCTGGTCTACTCTCATTTTTAAAAGCAAGTACCTGAAAGAAAGGCAGTCTGCCCTCTTTTGTTCCTAAGTGCTGGGAGCACATCATGTCCTAGCATGGTTTTTTGTTTTTTGGGGGGTTTTTGGGTTTTTTGGTGGCACTGGGGTTTGAACTCAGGCAGGGCATCACACTTGGTAGGCAAGTGTGGCTCATATCACTTGAGCCACTCTGCCAGCCATTTATTTTGTGATGGGTTTTTTCAGATAGGGTCTCCAGAACTATTTGCCTGGGCTGGCTTTCAACCCATGACCCTCATGATCTCTGACTTCTAGGATTATATGCATGAGTCACCAGCACCTGGCCCTAGCATGCATCTTGATTTAATGATTCCCATGTAAAGGGTGGCAGCTGCATGGATTTTTGAGTTTTTACTTGAAGATTTTACTGCTTATTTGTGGGTGTCATTAAAGAGAAACACTTTGTTACAAGTAATTTTTTTTTTCTTTAATTTCTTTTTTGTGGTTCTGGGTTTGAACTCAGGGCCTCATGCTTGCTAGGCAGGCACTTTACCACTTGAGCAACTCCAGTCTTTTTTTGTGATGGGTTGTTTTGAGTGAGGGTCTCTCAAGCTATTTGCCAGGGCTGGCTTTAAACCATGATGCTTCTGATCTCTGCCTCCTGGGTAGCTAGGATTATAGGCGTGAGCCACCAGCTATGGTACAAATAATTATTTTCTTGAGTAAATAATTACTTGAGTAAACTTAGTAACAAACTGAAAATATCTAAAGAAATGGGTCAGAAATTAGATCAGAAATGGAGTATCTATGATGCTTGAAGAAAAGACAGAAGTGAGATTTGCCTTATTTAAAATATTTATCTTTTGTTTGGTGGTACTGGGTTTGAATTCAGGACTTGCTTGCTAGGCGGGAACTCTCTTGCTTGAGCTACATCCCTAGTTCTTTTTGCTTTAGTTAGTTTTCATATAGGGTCTTACTTTTTTGCCCAGGGCCACCCTGGAACCACCATCTTCCTACCTACACCCCCACATAACTAGAATTACAGGCATGGGCTAGGCTACCATGCCCAGCTTATTTGTTGATTTTTTTTGCCTGGGCTGGCTTTGAATCTCAATCATCAAGGTCTCAGATTCCCAAGTAGCTGGGATTACAGTTGGGAGCCACTGTGACTGTCTTTACTATTGTTAATTATTGGGTTGTAACTAGTTCTTTTTCTCTGTCAAAACATACAGGTTTAATTAATATATAAATTACTTATAAATGAGTAGCTGTACACTCACTAGAACTTTGTTTTTCCCTCTCTTTTGATACACTTTTTTTTTTTTTTTTTTTTTTTTTTTTTTTGGTGGCACTGGAGTTTGAACTCAGTACCTCATGCTTGCTAGGCAGGCACTCTACCAGTGGAGCCACTCGGCCAGCCCTTTTCCCTCCCTTTTGAGACAAGGTCTCACTACTGTAGCCCAGGTTGTCCTCACAAACTCTCAATCCTCTTGCCTCAGCCTCCCAAGCACTGGAATTATAGGTATATGATTCAAGCATGGTGATGCTTGGCTAGAATACATTTTTGAAGGAGATGATGACATGTAAAGCAGCCTTCTAGAAATTTAGTGCCTAAGTCTAAATAGTTTGGGGGAAGGTTTTCTGTAGGTGATAACTAATTCAGAGAACTGATTTGTTTTTGGCAGCACTGGGGTTTGAACTCAGAGCCTCGCACTTGCTAAAGAAGGCCCTCCTACCTCTTTGAGTCATTAGGCCAGCGTGTGTGTGTGTGTGTGTGTGTGTGTGTGTGTGTGTGTGTGTGTGTGTGTTTGTTTTGGGTTTTTTTGAGTAGCTAGGATTGCAGGCGTGAGCCACCAGCACCTGATTGAGAACTGATGTCCCTTTTAGTAGCCTGTTTGGATTATTTTTTTAACATGAAGCCAGGCATCATAATCCACTTTTGGGCAAATGTTGGGAAAATTGACACATTTATTTTTACATTCACGCACATTTCATTGAGGAGCAATAGAAAAAGCTTTTTCTTTGTCATCGTTACAAGTACATACTTTGCCAACATTTTAGAAGTCAGATTGCAAAGGGACGGCTTTTTAGACTGTAGTGAATTACTTGACCACTTAACATGAACATACTTTTGTCTTTGTTGTTTTTTTCAGAACGAACCAGTCATAACCATAACTCATAGACAAAGGGAAAAAAGTACATATTTTTGACACATGACAACAGAATTAAATAACAACCATTATGACATTAGCAGCTACCATGCAATAGAGTTTCACATGTAGTCTGATGGAATGGCTCAAGTGATAAGAGTGTCCTGCCTAGCAAGTATGAGGGCCTGACTTCAAGCCCCAGTGCTACCAAAAAAGTTTCACATGTAACTACAGACTAATTTAAATTTCACAGGATTTGCTAAATATACTTACCATCTATCTGTGTACTGTCAAGCTTATGTTAAAAACTTTTGGGGTATTTTTGGTGGGACTGGGGTTTGAACTCTGGGCTTTACCCTTGGAAAACAGGCACTCTACGACTTGAGCCACACCTTCAGTCCATTTTGCTCTGGTTATTTTGGAGTTGGGAGTCACACAAACTATTTGCCTGGGTTGGCCTCAAACCCCAATCCTTCCAATCCAAACCTTCTAAGTACCTAGGATTATAGGTGTGACTCACTGGTGCCCAGGTTAAAAATTTAAGAATGCTCTCCCCTTTAGATTTTTTCAAAACTTTTTTGATTACAAAATTTCAAAGGCATTAAAATTTTTAGGGACTGTAAATTACACTATGAACATACATTAATACATTTAAAAATAATTTATAGTACTTTATTATGTATTTTATAAAGACATTAATACATTTTAAAAGTTGAAAGTAGTTTTCTCAGTTATAAACTATTGCTATAACTTAAACCTTGCGTATTGTGTTTATATAGTTTGAAAGTACCCATTAAGAACAGTTAATATTTATTGCATGTATGCCATACACTTAAGTGCTTTACATGTATATCTCATTTAATTGTGAGATTAGGGGAATAAAAAATGATGGTGTGAATTCAACCATGATATATTATAAGAACTTTTGTAAATGTTACAGTACAATAATAAAAAAATAGAAAAAATTTTTGTGAGAGGAAATAAAGTTGATTACTACAGATCTTAAAATTACATATATTTATACCTACCCTTGCTTGCCACCTGTACCTTGCTAAATCAAATGGTCTGCTCTCTGTCCTTTTATTTGTAAGCAGCAGTTGACATAGTTGATCACTCTTGGAACTAAGGCACTGGTCAAGTGGTAAAGTACTTGCCTAGCTAGCATGAGGCCTTGAGTACAATTCTAGTACTGAAGGAAAAAATATTACATAGTTGATCACTCTTTTTTCAGTACACTGTCTTTACTAGTTTTCCCAGGACAGCACATTCATTTGGTTCCCTTCTTTCCTCACTGGTGGCTCTTTCTCAGTTTCATTTGCTGGTTCTTTTTCTAATCTCTTAATGTTGAAGTATTTCTGTGTTAAGTCCTTGACTCTCTTCTCTGTATTTATCCCTAGTGAGCATGTCCAATTTCATGTCTTTAACGACTCTATAGACCTTTGCCTTCCAGATTGGTATATCTAGCACAGACTTCTTCCCTGACCTTCAGGCTTGTATATTCAGCAGTCTCCTCGTTGTGGGCAAATGGATATCTAATAGGCTTTCAAACTCAGCCATATCCAAAATCCATATCAGATAGCATTAAGTGATTTACAAAACAAAATCTTTAATGTCCACCAGTGTAGAAATAAAGTGGAAATTGAAATCAGAGTTTGGTCTTAACTCTAGTAGAATAATATTGCTTCTTTAGGGGAACAGACTTTATTCTTAGCTCTAGGCTTACTGTATTGTATGCCCCTTAATTACTTTGAGCTCCTGGAGTAAACTTACCCCTTTTTCCACTTCCTTTTGTTCCTTTCTTTTAGACCTTAGATTTAATATACAAATGAGTTTGGTAATTTCTTTTGAAAGTAAAAACTCAGTTCTTATTCCCACCTGTATTCTTCATCATACTAAGACCAGTTCTGATTTTTAGGTATCATCTTTATCAGAAAGTGAGGAATCTCAGGACTCATCTGACAGCATAGGCTCCTCACAGAAAACTCACGGGATCCTAGCACGGCGCCCATCTTACAGGTCAGTACTCTCTTGTACTAACCCCTGCAGGTGTTATATTACCAGATGAGTTAAATGGTGCTGTGTAAATGAAATTAAAGAGGGAATGTGTTAAGAGAGATTGGAGCCAGATTATTTAGGGCTAAATTTGATAGACCAAAGAATTCAGACTTCTGACAAAATACTAAATATCCATATTTACTTCTACGTATTTCTAATAGCAATACAAAAGCAGGACTAGAGACTTTAGGAATTCAACTACTTTGTGTTCACCTTCTTATCTTAGCTTCCTAACTCTGGGCCTTTGTTCCCTATATGTTTCTTTGTCTGAAATACTTTGTTCTACATTCTGCATAATTCCCACACATAACTTTCCATAAGCTTCTCTGATTACCTCTTTCTGACTGGCCCAAGACCAGACCAGGTCTTTCTTCTATGGCATCCTTCTACTGACCTCAGTTATATTACTTAACTCATCCTATTGGAATTCCACTTTATTTAAGGCATGACTCATGCATTATTATTTTTTGTGATCCTAGGGCCTAGCACAGTGACCATCCCATAGTAGATGCTCAGGAATTACTTGATGAATGAATGGAAAGATGGAAGTAGTACAAGTAATTGAAGAAAACTTTCAAAATAATCTATGATTTTATATTAGTGGAATATCTTTGTGGTGACTGAATTTCAGGCACTTCTATAAGCCTGGTGACTATGTGTTAGGAGAGGGAGATATAAAATGACAAAACATTTTCTTTGGGACATAGAAGAAAATGCAAGAGGATTTTAGATGATATGAGAGAATTATATATAGGGTACATTCAGTCCTCTCTGGTGAAATTAGTAGTAAAGATTTCATAGATGATGTGACTTGTGCCACCACCAATCTGTTGATTTTTGTGAAACTGGAGCTGCTTTAGCTGAGGGACAGTGTAATCTGATATTGTGTTCCCTAAGTGCTATTTAAAGTGGTATCTTTGTTGCAGGGGAAAAATAATTGGTCTATTCTGGGAATTGAGAGTTTAATATGAACAGAAGAAGTTTAGCAAAGAAAGGTAAACAGGAACCAGATTGCTTACAGCCTTGTTACCTTCCTCAGGAATCTGGACTCCATTGAACAAATAGGCAATGAACAGATATGTTAGCTTTGCATACTATGATAAAACAAATTCTTAAAGGGGAAAGATTTGGGTTTGTTTTGTATTTTGGGTGAGACTGGGGTTTGAAGTCAAGGATACCCAATTGCAAAGCAGGTGCTCTACCTTGAGCTACACCTCCAGTCCATTTTGCTATGGTTATCTTAAGAGATAGGTCTTGCAGACTATTTGCCTGGGCTGGCCTCAAACCATGGTACTCTCAGTCTTAGCCTCCCAAGTAGGTAGGATTATAGGCATGAGCCATAGGCATCTGGCAAAGAGGAAGAGTTTATTTGACTCACCGTTTTGAACATTTGACTCCATGAAAATTGACTCCATTGCTTTGGGTTTGTGGCAAGGAGTATGTGGTAAAGCAAAGCTATTTATCTCATAGCAGACACAAGGTGAAGGAGAAATGAGAAGTCTTAAGGTCCAATAACTTCTTCCCACTAGGCCCCCATCTCTATAAGTTCCACCACTTCCCCTCCAAAAGAAACCACCATTGATGACCAAGCCTTTAATGCTTGGGCCTTTAGGGGCCACTTACTTAAAACAAAGCGACTAACAAAAAATTTTGAGATTTTTAGATGGAAACCCTTAAGAGTGAACCTGTGGGCTAAGGGCGTGGCTTAGTGGTAGAGTACTTGCCTAACATGCACAAGCCCTGGGTTTAATTCAGAGCATCACAGGGGAAAAAAAACAAAAAACATTTTGTAGACTCTTCTTGCTGGGTGTGGTGGCACCTACATATATTTCTAGTACTTAGGCTGAGATAGGAGGATTGTGAGCTCATGGTTAGCCTGGGCTACATAGAAGACTCTGTCTGAAAAACAAACAAACAAACAAAAAGAGTGAGGACTGCAGATGTGGCTGAAGTGGCAGAGCATATGCTTAGCAAGCATGAGGTCCCAAGTTCAAGCCCCAGTATTGCCAAAAAAAACAGTATGAAAACTGTAAGAAGCTGAAAGGAATAATACACTATTAACTAACAGCAGCAGATACAACAAATGACATTATATCCCTCAGGACTTCAACTAATGAAATGACTAGAGACTTTAGTATAATTAGAACTGTGAAAGATACAGAGATGTCATCAAAACCCTAATATTACAATAAGAGACTGGGGTGGGGGTGGCTCAAGTGATAGAGCACTTGCCCAGCAAGCACCAGGCCCTAAATTTAATCCCCAGTACCTTGAAAATAAAGTAAAACTGGAAATGAAAGATGCTAAAGTTTTTTGAAGAATTTTAAGTAAGTTTTATAAACTGAAGAATTAAGTAACTGGAAGATAAGGCTCTGAGTAAATTCCCTAGAATGGAGCACAGTAAGATAAATATTAGAGACCCAGATAATAGAATGAGAAAGTTCAACACAATGTACATTTAATAATACTCAAAAAGAGAGAATGGGGAAGGGCACTTCCAGCTTCTATTGTCTTTAGGAGGAAAGGTAATGACTGGTATTTCCAGGAAATGAATTCCTCAGCTTTGGAAAGCAAGGTCCCAAATAAGATAAATTAATATAAACCTACATTTGAATGTATCTTATAAAATTAACACCAAAGTTAACAAATAAGATTTCTTTTTTTCCTTGTGGTACTGGCAATTGATGAACTGAGAGTCTTGCAGCTAGTAGCTACACTCCAGCCCAGGTAAACATCTTAAAACTTCTAAAAGAAAGAAGACAGATTACCTAGAAATGAGTGACCATGAAGCCAACAATAGATTTTTTTGAACAGCAGCATTAGAAGATATGAAGTGAGTATCTGTACTCACCTGGACAACCACTCAAAAATGATGATGAAAGACTGTAGCTCAGTGGTAGTGTGTGCTTAGCATTTATAAAGCCCTGCCCTGCTCCCCCAAAAAAGGAAAGGATTCTATTGGAGTTTTAAATTATTTTTAGATTTATCAGAGACTTAAAGGCAGTCACCACCAAAAGAATACAAATAAAAAGTTCAGTTTCCAAATAGTGAGGCTCTCCCAAACAAAACAGCTCCTGGATCAAATACTTTTTAATGCATTATGTGCTTACAGAAAATAATGAAACTCTCTTACCATACACCCCTAATAAGCAGAAAAGATATATACATACAAGCATAGGAGCTGAAACCAGAATGGGGAACAAAAAGAAAAATGCAAAACAGGGCACACTCATTAACTTTGCTGCAGAAAGGAAGTCTGAACCTGAATTTTCTTCATTAAGCAGGAGTCTCTGAAGGAGGCTAGAACACCTGAGAAGAGACTTCCCAAAGTTAAGTTTTCTGGATTGCCATAGGTTAGGATCAAATACGAATTCAGTCAGAAATCATCAAACATACATGGAAGTGAACTACCACAAGTGAAAATCAAGAGAAACAATATAAACAATAAGTGCAGAAAAAAAGCATTTGATAAAATTTAACACCCAATCATAAGGTTTTAGCAAATAAATAATAAAAACAGGTTTCTGTAGACTTTGAAAACTGAACTATATCTAGAAGAAGCCATATCCCAACTCCTAAGCTGGTCACTACCTGATGTACCAATAGAACACATTTCAGTAACATTGCAAACTAAACTGACACTGGAAGTGCATAGAAGACTAATCAGAACTTCCACCTTGGACACAATTAGATTGATAGTCTGCTAAAACAAGAATTTAAAGAATCTGGTAGCATAGTATTGAAAATGTCCAAAATAACTTGGCAGAATACCTGAAAGAAAAATCCCAGTTTTCTAAGGAAAGATTATCAATATATGCCAAAATCTAGATAACAGAGATATTGCAATTATATGGTAGAGACTAAAGGAATTATTATTAAAATGTTCCAGCAAGTATGCATGAATCCTCTTGAAATAAATGGGAAGATACAAAGTCTTAACAAAAAATATAGATATAAAGACAAAAGAGAAGTTTTAGAATGGAGAAATATAGTAACCCAAATAAAACCAACACTGGATGGATTTAACAGGAAAATGAGATGAAAGAGAAAATAGTTGGTCAATTTTAAAGATTAAGGATATTATCCAGTCTAAACAATAAAGATTAAAAGGACTGAAAAGAGAACCTGTGAGACAAATGCATAAGGTCTTAATATTTGTATCATTAACAGATGTAAGCCTGCAGATTCAAAAAGATCAGCAAACCCTAATCAGGGAAAAAAAGAAAAAAGTTGCCCAGATACACCACAGTCCAACTTCTGATAACTTAATGACAAAGAAAACTGGTGTACTAACAGAAAAGTAGCACATTGCTTATAAATGTTTAAAGAAATGAATTATTAACCCTGACATCTGTAGCTAGTGAAAATATCTTTCAGAAATGGAGGTGAACTGTTCACATGAAGGAAAAAACTTAAAGAGAACTCCTTATGAACAGAACTGCTCTAAAATAATTACTAAGAAAGTTCTTAAGACAGAAACCAGGAAGGTTAGGAATGAAGAAATAGCACCAGAAATATGTAGGCAAAATGGGTTAAACTGGGCATACTGGCACATGCCTGTAATCCTAGCACTCGGGAGTCCTAGGCACAAGGATCATGAGTTTGTGGTTAGCCTGGGCTACATAATATTTTCAAAAAAAACAAACAAAAGCTACACAGATTTAGTTAAAATTATAATAAGTTAAAATGGAATTCTGAAAATTTTTCAAATAAACTAAAAGAATGCAGGTGAAGAGAAACAGGAATTTTAAAAAGAATAAAGAGAAAGAAAGTAATAAAATAGTAGATCAACTAGGCAGTGGTGGCTCACTCACGCCTGTAATCCTAGCTACTTGGGAGGTGGAGGATCACCGTTTGAAGCCAGCCTGGGCAAACAGTTCAAGATCCTCACTTGAAAGAATCCATCACAATAAAGGGCTGGTGGAGTGGCTCAAGCAGTAAGAGTGCCTGCCTAGCAAGCTTGAGGCCCTGAGTTCAAACCCCAGTGCCATCAAAAAAAAAAAAAAAAAAAACTACATAAAAACTTGTACATCAATGTTCATGGCAGTATTGTTCTTATTAGCAAGAAGTGGAAGCAACCCAAATGCCCACCAGCTGATGAATGATACACAAGGTTTGTTCATAGAGTGGAATATTATTTAGCAAAAAAAAAAAAATGAAGTACTAATACATGCTTTAGTATAGGTGAACCTTGAGTGTGCATATTTTTGCATGATTCCATTTATTTATTTATTTATTTATTTATTTATCCTAAACTATTCCAGTTTAGGCAAATTTATAAAAACAAAGTAGACTGGACTCAGTTATAGAGTGCTTGCCCCTGAATTCAATCCTAGCACCACCAAAAGAAAAAAAAAAGAGAGAGAGCTATTGAGGCTGGCGGGGTGGCTCAAGTGGTAGAACACCTACTTTGTAAGCGTCAGGCCCTGAGTTCACACCCCATACCACAAGAAAAAAAGGAAAGAAGGAAGATAAAAAGGAAAAAAAATAGATGGATGGTTGCTTACAGCTAGGAGGAGGGAAGAGAAGAATGGGGGTTATTGAACTGCTGAGGGGTACTCGGTTTATTTTAGGAGTGAACAAAAACATGATAATGGTAATGGTTGTACAACCCTGATAATACATTTAAAGCACTGTGTTATATACTTAATTGATGGTTAATTGTATAGTAAATGAATTATATTTCAAAACTGTTTTTCCTTTAAAAAGACAAAGATAATTAGAATGAATTTTCACAAATGACTCACTTCAAATATAATTATATATCTAGCTAGGTTTTAAAGTAAAAGGATGGCTAAAGAGAGGCCAGAAAAATACTAATGTGAATTAATGTGGCTCTATTAACATCATACAAAATAGATTTGGAACAAAGGGAGATAGTACATAATGATAGTTCAAGAAAGTAATAAGCAATACAAATGTGTATGCACCTTAAAAAAAATTCAAAACACATGGGTTAAAAACTAACAACTGAAAAGAAAAAGAGCAAATCCAGTTATAGATGAAGATTTTAGTACACCAAGTTTAGTATTTAATAGAACTTATAGTCAGAAAATAAGGTTATAGAAAAAGTTAACACCTGCAACCAGCAGCATCTAATTGACATTTCTGGACACTTCACCAAATAGCTTTAGAATGAACATTATTTCCAAGAGCACAAATAACAAATGTAGAACTGAAATTATGCATAATATGTTTTCATACTGGAATTAGAGTAGAAACCAATAATAGAAATATAATAGGAACATTTCCAAATACAGAAATTAAACAGCAACACTAAGAAATAATTCATTTGGGACTGAAGGAATGGCTCAAGCAGTAGAGCATCTGCCTTGTAAGCATGACATCTTGAGTTCAAACAGTGGTACCACCAAAAAAATAATTCCTTTGCCAAATGGGAAGTCTTAAGGGAAATAAAAAAATATTCTGAATTGATGAAAATAAAGAATATCAAATGTGGGTTGTAAATAAGTCAGTGAGGGAAATAGCAGTTGGAGGAAAGTATAGCATTAAGTCCTTGTGTCTCAAATGAATAAGCTCACACTTTCATAAATGAGGGAGGAAAAGAGCAAACCCCAAAACAAAGCAAAAGAAAAGAAATAATAGGTAAAAGGTAGAAATCCTAGCTATTTTGGAGGCTGAGAGCAGGAGGATGGAGGTTCGAGGCTAACCCAGGGAAACAGTCCATGAGAACTCCATCTCCAAAATGAACTGGAGATGTGGCTCAAGCAGTATAGTGCCTGCTTTGCAAGCATGAAGCCTTGAGTTCAAACTCCAGTTCACAAAAAATGGCGCCTGGAGTTCTGCCCTAGATCTTTAGGAGCATCAGATGGGAATCTGGATGGAACAGACCTCTCCAGATAATTTTAATACATAGGCAGGTTTTTTTTTTTTTTTTTTCTACAAATGCCTTTACAATAGTCTTGTAGCCAGGCTCTGCAATCCTAGCCACTTAGGAGGCAGAGATCATGAGGATCCCAGTTTAAATCAGCCAGGGAAATAGTTTGCAAGACCCTAACATGAAAATATCCAATAGAAAAAAAAAGGGCTGATGGTATGGCTCAAGTGGTAGAGCACCTGCCTAGCAAGTGTGAAGCTCTGAGTTCAAAGCCCAGTACTGCTGAAAAAGAAAAAAAAAGTCAAACTGCAACTTCTGTTAATACAGTCTGTGTATTACCTCTTGGTAGAAACATTGTCCGGAGAAAGGAGAGAAAGCTGGAGAAGGATCTTAAACTTGTCACAGAGGAGCACATGAAAGAACTGAAAGTATATGGCCTAGAATAAAGACCACCTGTAGCAGTAGTCAAATATTGCAAAGTAGGGCATGGGTAAGTTAATGAGGTTAGGCTTAAATTTCTTTAGCTCCAGTTGGGTGGATCTAATTTTAAATCTAACCAAGGGAGAGCTCTCAGTGTTCAATAATAGAATGGTCTACTTTTTGTCAGTAGTGGGTGCCATATTTCTGGAAGTAGAAGTTGTGAGTAGTATTAAAAGGAATTTCCTCATGGCAAGGGGGGTTGGCATAGGTAACATGAAAGATTCCTTTTGTCTTTTTCATCTCTGTTCCTCTCATGAATCCCATTTACCAAATCTGAGTGATACCACTGGGATATTTACCTCTTTTTGCTAAGATAAGCAATTTATTGTGCATATTATAGTAGTATTTCTTTTTTCTTCTTTGTTTGTGGGACTGAGGTTTGAACTCAGGGCTTTGTGCTTGCAAAGCAAGCACTCTGCCACTTGAGCCATGCCTCCAGTTCATTTTGCTCTGGTTAATTTGGAGGTGAGAATCATGCAAACCATTTGCCTAGGCTGGCCTTGAACTGAGATCCTCCTGATCTCAGCCTTCTGAGTAGCTAGGATTACAGGAGTGAGCCACCAGTGCCGGTTTATAGTGCTATTTCTAAATCTCATTTCCTGAAAACTGTGGGCTTCTGTTCCACTATATATAGTCAAAGGTTGAAAAAGCAAAATTGATCTTTTTAAGTGAAAACTGACACTATTTAGATAATGAAAAGTACCTTACAATTAGTGAAATACCTCACAATGGAACCATCTTTCCTACAGGAGAAAGAAATTTTACAACAAGGCCTAGGTGTGTAGCTCAGTGGGAGAGTGCTTACCTAGCTTACACAGGACCCTAGGTTTGATTCCCAGCACCACAAGAAAAAAAACAAAAAAAACTTACTGTCTCACCCATAACTACAAGGGCCTTATACATAGAAAGGCTCATGTGTATATTTGTACTCAGTGTATAACTGTCTGTTTTCAGATAAACTGAAGTTCAAGTATCCTGGACCACATAATTATAAATACATGCTAAACAGAAACAGAAGGATTTTTTTTTTGGCATTACTGGTGTTTGAACTTTGGGCCCCATGCTTTGTAGACCAGTATTCAACCCCTTGAGCCACTCTGCCAGCCTTGTTTTTGTGTTAGTTTGTGAGAACCTGTCTCAAAAATACCTATTTGCCTGGGCTGGCAATGAACTGAGGTCCTCTTGATCTTTGCTTCCAAGTAGCTAGGATTATAGGTGTGAAGCACCAGCACCCCACCGGAAGGATTCCTCGACACAACAGTTTAGTTGTCTTGTAGATTTTTGAGACAGAGTCTTCTTACATTGCCCAGACTTGTCTTAAACTCTTGGGCCCAAGCAGTCCTCCTGTCTCAGCTTTGCAAGTAGCTGGGGCTACAGATGTGCACCACTGTGTCTGGCTAGTTTATTGTACTTTTAACCTGAGATTGAAAATGGTTTAGGGCCAGGTTGGGTGGTACATCCCTGTAATTGCAGCACTTGGGAGGCTGAGGCAGAAGGTTCATGTGTTCAAGGCCAGTTTAGACTACATAGTGAGACCCTGTTGAGAGAGAGAAGAGAGGAGAGAGACAGAAATGGTTTAGCAGTTTTGTAAAGGCAATCTCATTACCAACATTAATAGAGTTCTATTTTTCACAGAAAAATTTTGAAAGACCTCTCTTCTGAAGATACTCGGGGTAGAAAAGGAGACGGAGAAAACCCCGGAGTTTCTGCTGTCACTTCTATGTCTGTTCCAACTTCCATCTATCAGACTAGCAGCGGACAGTACAGTATGTATAGGATTTGTTTACACATGTAGACACACAAAACTAACTTTGCTGTGGAAAGAAGTGGTGTGCAGAAAGACTGTCATACTTTCATAGCAGTAACTGAAAGGACGTTGAGAATAATGCACAGTACTTTTCAGCATTATCTCATTTGCTTCTCACAACTTTGTGAGGTAGGTAGCTAACAATTTATGAGGGAACAGGGGCTTAAACAGTTAGATAACATTCCTGAGGTCACACGGCTTACAGGTAGTGGAGCCAGAATTCAGTTAAGTTATATTTTGTTTGTTTAGTTTTGGGTTTCTTTCTTTTTTTTAACAGAGGGACCCACACTTACTAGGCAGGTGTTCTGTCACTTGAACCACACCCCTAGGCCCAGTATTTAATTAGTTTGATTCTAGAGATAGAATTTTCCCTAAAACTTCACTGCCTCTTAGAGACTGCTCTTTTGGACACTAGCCAGTTAAATCCATGACCTTCATTCCAGTGGAAATTATATTTGGATTAGTTATACAGAAAAAGATTAAATATGAACATTGAATTTTTAGTTTGAAGTTAAGAAAGTTTGAATCAGAAGAATTCAGACTTGTGCAGTGTGATTTACAACATACCTACTGTGAATAACCAGGGGCTGATCACATTTAATCACTAAATCACTCTACCTGAAAATGTTAATAGGAAGATTACACCATACATAGAACAAAGAATGAGCATCCACTGGTAAAGAATCCTATCTGAGCCAGGCACCAGTGCCTTACACCTTTAATCCTAGCTCCTTGGAAGGCTGAGACCAGGAGGATCCCAGTTTGAGACCATCTTGGGGAAATACTTTAAGAGACCTCATCTCCAGAATAACCAGAGCAAAATGGACTTGGAGATGTGGCTCAAGTGATAGCGCCTGTTTTGCAGGTACAAAGCCCTGAGCTGAAACTTTGGTCCCACTTAAAAAAAAAAAAAAAAAAAAAGCCCACCTAAGGACTAGGTGAAGATACAAAGGATGTAGACATGCAAATGTGGTCCTTGCCTTTAGTCAAAAGAGACAAAACACTTAGGATTTTTGCCTAAAAATTTAGGGATGAAGTCTATGGCTTATTAAAATAACATTTGACAAAACTAGCAAGATATAATGAATTAGACCTCTCAGTATTTTAAAGTTAAAGTTTTAGTTTGGTTTTCAGCATTTCTGATGAAAAATTTCAAACATACTAAAAGTTAAACAAGTATACAGCAGATATACACACACATGCACATCTGTAATTTTTTCTTTGATGTTGTTTGGATTTAGAATTAATATGCATAGAGACTTAACCATCTCTGAGATTTTCCCCATGCTTGCTTCATTTTTTACTTTCAAATCTTTTATCCATCATAATTGTCTTGCTTAAGGATTCAGGAGACTCCAATTTTTTTTTTCTAGTTTTCTAGTTTCTTCCCCAGTTTATGAGAATACACTATTTACATATTTCTGTCCATTTGTAGCTTACTGAAATGGGAATTTAGTGTAGGATGAAGGCAGTATTTAATACATTTGAAGTTCTATGGATTGGTACAGGCTTTTTCAGAGTTTTCTGACTATTCTAAATATTTTATTACTTGCAGTAAAATTCACTTTTGGGGGTTTTATAAGTTTTGATAAATGTGTGCAGAGTGTATACCACCATGAGCTACCACAATTAAGATTTTAATTCTCTTTTCCTAAGAAATTCACTTGTCCTCCCATTTTAATATCTCCCTCTACTCCTAACCTTAATCTTTAAGTCTAATTGGCTCTTGCCACAAAATATATGTCCCTTTATGATCTCCTCAACCACTACCACCACTACCACCACTACCACCATACCTCTTCAGTTTAGATTCTCATCTGAATTACTTCAGTAGGCTTCCAGTTGATCATATTTCTTCCATTCTTGATATAATTTAAATGTCAACTAGATCACTTCACATCTCCCCAAAATTCTCCAATGACTTTCTGTTAGGATAAAATCCAAGTCCTAAAAGCCATTACATTTGGAATCATCTTTGATTGCTTAAGTGTCACCTCCTTAGAGGGACAACTCTTAAAAACATGCTCCCCCTTGATTTAGTTTTCTTTACACCTCTATGTTATTCTTTTTAGCATTTATATATAATTTAAGTACATATTAGTTTAATTATAGGTTAACTTAGATTATTTTGTAACTTGTTCTCCCCACAAGAATGTAAGTTCCTTGAGTGAAAGAACCTTGTTTGTCTCATTCACAGCTATATTCTTAGCATGTAGAACCCAGCTTTCAGTTAAAATTGTTAAAAATAAGTGAATTTAGATAATATATAGAAAATGCCTCTGTAAAGACACATTAGAAACTGGGAGCACTGGTTACAAGGTAGAAACTTGAGCGTAGGGATCAGTAGCAGTTGAGAGGTTTACTTTGGGTAAATTTTTTTTCTTTACCATATACATGTATTACTGACATTCACTCCCTCCCCAAAATTTGTTTTAAAAGATAGCATATTAACAAGTTATATCAATATGGCTTATTCTGTGTTGTGTGTGTGTGTGTGTGTGTCCCCCTGGGGTTTGAACTCAGGGCCTTGCCAATCAGGTACTCTACAGCTTGAGCCACCCCCCCCCCCCCCGCCGCCCCCAGCCACAATATGGCTTATTTTAAACCACTGAAAATTAGAATTGTAAAAATCACATAGAAACTTAAGCAAATATTTCAGATTATAGTTAAAATAGATACAATACAAACTCATATTGTAGGCAACAATGCTGAGATGATGGGAATGTTTTATATCTGCATTGCCCAATTCAGTAGTGATAAACCAGGTGGGACTGTTGAGTGCATGAAATATGGCTGGCGAAACTGAGGAACTGAATTCTTTATTCTAATTTTACTTAATGGTCACTTGAGGCTAATAGCTACTATACTGAACAGTGCAGCTTTAGAATAAATATAACCAGGTAAATACAGATGTTATACAAGAAAGGCTAGAAAAAAAATTCTGTATTACCATGTATATTTAGCAGTAAAACACATGCATCTACAGATACATATAATTTTGATATATATATATTACTTTTATTGATATATTCACATAGGAAAATCTGAGATGCACCAAAAATAATGGCTACCTCAAAATGTAGAGGTTGGTCACCTCATCCTGTCAGAAATAAACAGGGTTAGATAATGGGACTTTTTGTTTATATATTTATACTTACGTGATAAATGTGTGTGTGTGTATACACACACATACACACACACACACACACACATAAAATGAGTGAGAGGGAAAAAGAATCCTAACAAATTGCAAATATAATTTCAAAACAAATCTCTGCATCTAAATTTTTTGGGCGGGGAGGAGAGTGGAACTGGATTTCACGCTTGCAAAACAGCACTCTACCACTTGAGCCAAGAAAAGTTTTTATGAGTATTTTTAAAGTCATGAATTAAAGTATATGGAAATATCTGTGTGTGGCAATGGGGTAGAAATTATTAGAAACTCTAGAAAAAATTATTTTCAATTATAACACACACACCCCAACACACAATTGTATTTTGGCTTTGTGGCAACCCAAAGCATAAAAGGAGAAAAATGTTACATAAGAATGATTTGGAAAGAAGTACAGGAATGAGGTATTAGATACTGAATGGGATTAGTTGCAATTGCATAATGCTAAAAATGTTTTCTGTTTGAGCATGCCTTTTGGGTGTTTAGTTTAAGGGTAGAACAGTAACACAAATACAATTCAGTGTGAAAACCTTTGTGGGGAGTTAAGTAATGTGATCTACACGTGACTTTCTACTGACATGTTTTAACTCACAGCCTTGTGCTTGATAGGCAGGCACTCTGCTATTTGAACCATGCCCCCTGCCCTCTTTTTTTTTTTTTTTTTTTTTTTTTTAATTTCTTTCTTAAAAAGTTAGCAATCAGCCGGGCACCAGTGGCTCACACACCTATAATTCTTGCTATTCAGGAGGCAGAGATCAGGAGGATCGGGATTCAGAGCCAGCCAAGGCAAATAGTTTGTAAGACCCTATCTCAAAAAATCCTGTCACAAAAAAGGGCTGGTGGAGTGGCTCAAGGCATAAGCCCTGAGTTCAGATCCCAGTATGGAAAAAAAAAATTAGCCATCGATGCCCTCTTCTAATGTCTCAGAATTTCTGGAAAGGCTGGAGGGACAGGCAGCATTTAAAAAAAAAAAGAGGGGAGGGAGGGGAAGGGGGCGGAGTGGGTGGTAAGGGAGGGGGTGGGGGCAGGGGGGAGAAATGACCCAAGCCTTGTATGCACATATGAATAATAAAACAATAAAAACAATTTAAAAAAAAAAGGAAAGAAAGAATTTCTGTACCAAATAGCAATTAGCATGGAATGACCCTTTCTCAGAAACAGAAGGACTCGGTGTAGCTGAGTGGTAGAGTACTTGCATAGCAAGCAAAACCCCTTGAATTCAATCTGCTGTGCCTGAGAAAAGTTTTTTCACCCTTCCTTTGAATTAGTGCATTGCATAGCCTTATAATAGCTATTTTCTCTCTTTGGTTAAAGTTGCCATTGCGCCAAATGGAGCCTTACAGTTGGCCAGTCCAGGAGCAGATGGAGTACAGGGACTGCAGGCATTAACCATGACAAATTCAGGCAGTACTCAGCAAGGCACTATTCTCCAGTATGCGCAGACCTCTGATGTACAACAAATACTTGTGCCTAGCAAGCAGGTGGTTGTACAGAGTAAGTATGCTTAACTGCCTTTGAAAGTGTCCCAAAGCACTTTCAAGGATACTTACAAATTAACACTTGTTTTGATTGTACAGCTGCATCAGGAGATATGCAGACATATCAGATCCGTACCACACCAGTTACTTCACTGCAACAAACTGTGGTGATGACATCTCCTGTGACTCTTACGTCTCAGACAGCTAAGACAGATGACCCCCAACTGAAAAGAGAAATAAGGTTGATGAAAAACAGGTAGGTAGTAGAATTACACTACCAAAATGGGTAAGATTTTTGCAAACCTCACAACATAACCAGATATTACTGGGAATTGTGTCGTTAGAAATAGGGAAAGACATTACTGAGTGTTGGATGGACTATGTCTGGTTCATTCCCAGTGGATTAGTGAGTCCCATTTTTCTGTGTCTTCTGTTTAGTACGTTACATGGCCTAGAGTTCTTCTGGTTTTATTATAGACTTTGAAATAGCATTGTTAAGCAAAGCTTTTCAAACATTTTGTCCTTGGGCTCACAGAGTTAAATGAAAATAATACAAGCATACCTCAGAGATACTGTAGATTTGGGTTTAGACCACCACTGTACAGTAAATCTCATACAGTAAAAGCAAGTCATGCAAATTTTTTTTCTTCAATGTATAGAAAAGGTATGTTTACCCAATTCTGTGGAATTATAGTGCAGTAGCATTATGTCCCTCCAAAATGATATAGCTACCTTAATTTAAAATGAATTGCTAAAAAGTGCTAACAGTCATCCTTTAGCAAGTCATATCTTTTTACTTGGTAGAAGGTCCTGCCTGAATGACATGATGAGAGTTGGGGTGGCTGTGGCAATTTCTTTCATTTATTATTATTATTATTATTTTGCTATACTGGGGCTTGAACTCAGAGCCTTCACCTTGAGCCACTCCACCATCCCTATTTTTATGAAGGGTTTTTCGAGATAGGGTCTCATGAACTATTTGCCCAGGCTGGCTTCGAACTGTGAGCCTCCTGATCTCTGCCTCCTGAGTAGCTATGATTAGGTGGCATGAGCCACCAGTGCCCATCTGCAATTTCTTACATTAAGACAAGAATGAGGTTTGCCATGTTGAGTTACTCGTTCTTTGATGAAAGAGTTCTCTGTAGCATATAGTGCTGTTTGATAACATTTTATCCATAGTATAATGTCTTTCAAAATTGGAGTCGATCCTCTCAAACCTCACTTTGCTTTATCACCTAAATCTATGTATTATTAAAATCCTTTGTTGTCATTTCAACAGTGTTCACACCATCTTCACCAACAACAGATTCCATCTCAAAAAACCACTTTATTTGCTTGTCCTTAAGCAACTCCTTATCTGTTAAAGTTTTTATTTTACCCTGAGACCAGCAATTTAATCGCATGTTCAAGCTCCACTTCTAATTCTGGTCTCTTGGTATTTCTACCATACCTGCAGTTACTTCAACTGTGGTTTGTTATTGTTGCTGTTTGTTTTTCTGGTGCAGTGGATGAAACCCAGGACCCCATACATGCTAGGCAAGCACTCTACCACTGAGCTACACCCTCAGCGCATTCCTCCCCTGAATTCTTGAACTCTCCAAAGTCATCCATGAAGGTTACAGTCAACTCCCAGAGTCCTAGTAATGTTGATATTTGACTTTTTCCCATCCATCACAAATGTTGTAATGGCATTTAGAATAGTGACTCTTTCCCAGAAGGTTTTAAATTTGCTTCACCCGTATCTATCAGATGAATCACTATGGAAGCTAAAGCCATGCAACATTCATTTCCTAAATAAGATTTGAAAGTCAAAAATTAGTCCTTGACCCACAGCTACAGAACGGATGTGTTAGCAACATGAACATATCATTAATCTATTGTATATCTCCACCAGAGCTTAGGTGACCAGATGCATTGTCAGTGAGTAGTAATATTTTTAGAGAAATCTTTTCTCAGCAGTTCTCAACAGGGCTTTAAAATAGTCAGTAAGCCATGTTGTAAACAGATGTGTCGTCACCCAGGCTTTGTTCTATTTATAAAGCATAGGTAGATTAGATTTAGTATATATAATTCTTACGGACCTAGAATTTTGAGCTGGTAAATGAGTATTGGCTTAAAGTCCCCAGCTTCATTAGTCCCTAATTGACCTGTCCTTTGAAATTTTTTTTTCTTTTTTGAAATCCACATGCTTATTTTATTTCCATTAGAAAAATATTACTTATATAAAATTTTGGTCTACTTTCTTCTCTTAATACTGTTGACATTTGAATACTTAATTTTACTCATCACATATCTAACGTGAGAACTAAATATTTAGCTCATTAAGTTAGTAAGATTTAATTATGTGTGCTCTTTCTTACTTCTCAGGAACAATACCTCATCCTTCCTACACTAACTCATCTTTTCCTTTGAGTAACTATGTAATTAGTGTCTCCTTTAACATCTAGCAGTATGAGTGTGTATTAGTGTAATTTATTGCATTATTATCTAATCTTCGAATCTTGTCAAATTTCCCTGTGATGCGGTATTTCCATAATAACCAGATTATTTTAATTATACTTACACTTCCCAACATCAATTGTAAAAATTAAGATGTTAATTTAATGACAAGATGGAAATTCCACAAACACTGGGTCCACTTATAGTGATGCTATTGCAAGAAGTTCTTGAACAACTATTGCTTTAATATTAACCCAGCTTCCTTTGGGCAAAGCTGCAACCTGGTAGGCAGTTACTCTTGAAATACTGTTTGTAGATTGCATTGACAGTACCAAAGTCATTTATGTCAGCCAGCAAAACAGTTGTTTTTACCACATCAGTGAAGTCACAGCCTACAGCTTTCAGAACTTCACCCATGTTTGTAAGAGCTTGTGTAGTTTCTTCCACTACCCCTCCTGGTACAAGCTGTCCACTTGCAGGGTCCATGCCTACATGTCTTGAAAAGTATATGGTCCTATCAACTAGCACAGTTTGACTGTACGGACCTGTGCAGGATAGAGAATTAGAGAAATGTCACTTAAAATCCACAATGTCTGGATTCATGGTCCTGCCCACCCCCCGAACCACCCCTTTCTGTTGGAAAGCACTTAACCCAGGCTCCAACATATTGTCATACATTGAGGTCTAACAAGCCCAAGTCTAGAAACACAGAGGACAAAAAAGATTAGGATAATTCTAACAAAAATCTTTGAGATGTAGATATTATTATTTTCTCTTTTTTGAGCCAAGGATACATAAAGGCCTAGAGAGATCACATGATTTGCCCAAGGTTATGCTGCTTAGTAAGTGGTAGAGGTACAATTTATTTTGCTTTGTTTTATTTTTTATTGTTTTACAAGCAAAACAGGAAGTAGAACCCCCAGAGCTAGAAGTAGTCCCAAGAGAGAGTTGCCCACAATTTAAATTCAGGGATCCAACTAGGCGTGGTGGTACACACCTGCAATCCCAGCATTGGTGGGGCTAAGGCAAGAGGATCATGAGTTTGAGGCCAGAATGGGTTACATAGTAAGACTCTGTCTCAAAAATCCAAAAAGTAAAAATTAATAAACACAGCGATCCAGGTTTAAAACATTTATTGCCTGGCATATATGTAGCTCGGTGGTAGAGCACTTACTTGCCAAGCATGTGCAAGGCTTTGGGTTCAATCCCTAGCACTGAAAATAAAAATCTGTATATTTAATGCAGAAACATCAAAACAGTATATAAAACAAGATACTATATAGTATAACAAAACTTAAAAAATACCTAATATATGTGACTTACATGCGACTTCACAGAAATGTTCTAAGAGGCCATGAGTGATCAAGAACTGATTGTTAGCAATTCAAACTTAACTAAAAATTAAAGAGGAACCCATAAATTTTACTTTGGTATTTATTCAAGAGAAATGAAACTTGGGGGCCGTGGAAATCTTGCAAGGCGAGGGCTACGTAGGCAGCTCTGTAGATGATGCTTTTAAGTTTTTAGTTGAGGGATTAAAAATGAGCAGGGAAAATTACTGAAATAATTTATGTTTAAAGAACATGAAATTTTTTTTCTAACACTTTTAAAAATATATTTAGAGAAGCTGCTCGAGAATGTCGCAGGAAGAAGAAGGAATATGTGAAATGCCTGGAAAATCGAGTTGCGGTCCTGGAAAATCAAAATAAAACTCTAATAGAAGAGTTAAAAACTTTGAAGGATCTTTATTCTCATAAAAGTGTTTGATTCCTAAAGTATTTTGTGGACCTGCCTAAAAATTAGATGGATTTTTTTAGTGGAGTTTTATAAATTAAAAAGGTCAAAAGTGAAGCTGAGTTTAGGCTTGTGCCATGCAGAGGCATATGTCTTATTACAAGCGATCTGGTGACAGATAATAAAGTGGAAGACGACCTCAAGGACACTGCCGGCACAACTGGAAGCTCTGTAAAAGTTAAACACACTGAACAGGAAGAAGAAAGGCGCTCTCAGCAACTCTAGTTTTCTAAATAGTACTAATTGTCAATCCAAAAATGGCAGATAAGATAAAATTTGGTAAATTGAATGTTTTCAAGTAAATCAGTTTACCCTCTAGATTTGCATTTCTTAATGTTTCCTGAAACTTAACCTTTCTCAGTTATATGTGGTTGTGTGTGTGTTGCTATGAATAAATTCTAAATTACAAATATAAAAGAAAACCTAATACATTACTAAATATATAAATTATGTGTTCTGATTGATTATGTATACTTGTTCTATTGTCAAGTCTTTAAAATGGGTTTTTAAACGTTTGTTGAACTTGAGAGTTTTTGAGACTGGGTTAACCATTTTTGACGTTTTTGTCCTATTGGGCCTCTAAGGTACATGAATGGAGTGTAGTGATTTTATAACATTTTGTATCAGAATGGAAAGAACTGTTTAAAAGTTTGATACTTTTAAGTAGTTTGGTTTTTGCTTACTCTGGTAAGGTTGATTTTTTACAAATATGTAACAAATTGGTTTTTTTGATTCTACATCCTGTATGCAAGTTGAAATATCCATTACTTATCTGTTGTGCTTTGATGGAATGAAATGTTTACATAAGTCCTTAAAATATTTTTTAGAAAACCTAAAAATGCATACCAAAGTTTTTCCAAGAAGATTTTATAATCAATTTAATGTAAGGTTTATCAGGTTCTAAAATAGCAGTTATTGAGGTAATTTTATGTTAGAGACTATTTTGTAATGTAGTGAATGGTACCTTTATAAGAAAAGTGACTGCCAATATATTTTTATAGCTAATCTTTATAAATTCTAATGTTGAGTTTTTAATGATTGTTTTAAATGTTTATATAGTTTAGTAAAAAAATTTTGATCTCAAAGTATCATTTTTATATTATGGGAAGTAAAGCTTTCAGATTGGCTGAGTTGAATTGGCTAAGTTTTATAAGCAGTTTATTTAGAAGTTCAAAATGTGGTCAGCATACCAGTGTTTAACCTCTGTATTCTAATTTGTATACATTTTGAAACTATATTGCAAAACTGTTGTTTGCTTCTTATATGTTTCATAGTGTTGTCTGAAATTAAAGCACATTTGATAAAATTAAGTTTGCTGAATATAAAATATAATGCTTGATATATGAACCACAACCTTTGTTAACTATACTACCTTTAGTACATTTTTATTTTTTGGTGGGACTGGGGTTTGAACTTAAGGCTTTGAGCTTGCAAACATTCACTCCACCACTTGGGCCACACCTCCAGTCCATTTTGCTGTGGTTATTTTGGAGCTGGGGTTTCACAAAGTATTTGCCCAAGTAGGCCTCCAACTGAGATCCTCCCAATCTTAACTTCCCAAGTAGCTAGGATTACAGATGTGAGCCACCGGCGCCCAGCTTACTTTTAATGTTAAAGCAAGGATAAATTTATGGTTCTGGTCTACACAACCTGTTTTAAAGGGGGAATGTATTTCTATTGAATTAGTTACAATAAATTAAAAATTTTTATACAAGTGCTTAGGATATTAGGGAGGCTAGTATGTAGAAATACTTACTTGATGAATTCATGACTGATCCTTCTGATGACAATTTTCATTAGAAGGATCTTTTAAAATGGGATTCCACTGACTTGGCAGCAGTTTGTAGAAAGAAAAAAAAATTACATCACTAATGAGACTGCGTACATCACTTACTATCTTGTGTAAAGTCAGAACCTCAAAGTGGTGACCCATTAGGCCTGAAAAATAGGAGGTATGGTGTCAGTAGGTTATACCAAACACTTAATAGAGTCTAGGGTACACGTTACGCTGGGCCACAACAGTTCTTAGTGCCTTAACAGCTGGGTATCTGCAGACTTCTGTAGACCCTTGCTCACTAGACCCAGTCACTCATTCCACCTGTATGTAATACACTGGGCATACCATTGATGGTACTGTTAGTGCATATAAATTATTTTCCTGGCTGTTTTTGTAACTGAGATCAGTGTGATCAAAATTTTCATAATAATTTATAGTCCAAATGTGAAATGTTTCAAAATGCAATTGACCAAACTCAACTATTTTACATAATAAATTTTTATAAACTTATACACTTACTGATAGAAACAATTACTGCCCACAAATACACACATCTAGACATGTCAAATCCTTTTAATTTTGTTGAACAGAGCATGAAGAATGGGTATTTACTAGAGCTTTGGAAATCTTAATATATTTGTTCTTTGAACAGTTACTGTGTTGAAGTTACCAGGCTAAACCTGCATTTTCCTCCAATTAAGGCAAAGGAAATAGAATATCCAAAATGAGTTTTGAAAAAACAAAAATTTAATATGGGAGGTGTACAGAAATATCTGTTAGAGTTGAAAATTAAATAACTAGTTCTCACAATGGCAGTTCAAGTTCCCAAAAAAAGATGTTAAAAATTGAAAGTAAAATTTGACTAAAGGTTTAATAGCTAATTTAAAGAATAGGTTGTAGTCAATATGTCCTAGCTTTATAAAATATAACAATTTACAGTAATGAACATCATTTACTTTTTTTTCTTTTTTGGCAGCACTGGGGTTTGAACTCGGGCTCATGCTTGGTAGGAAAGCTCTCTACCACTTGAGCCACTCCGTCAACCCAACATCATTTACTCTTATAAAAAAAAAAAAAAGACTTTATTTTATATGTTGCTTTTTTTTGAAATGCCTGTACACTTTATTAAGATCATTTCTGAGTAGGACATGTAACAATATTTCTAATTTGCCTAAGCATTAATAAATACGCTAAACCTTTTAAGTTACACAATAAGCGTAAGTTTGACTATATATATTGCTTCTTTAAACAAAAACTGTAATATAGGAAAATAACCCATCCAGAATGCAGAATTCCAAAGGCTGTTCTAGGGAGAGCTCATCAGGAATCTTTTGAGGGACGTGGTTTTGAGGAAGTCCAAGCCCCACCAATCCATACAACCCCCCCCCTTTTTTTTCCTAAGAGATTGTGATAACTAGGTCCCCTTTTTTTAGTATATGTTTCTTTCTACCAAACATAGGCATTAGAAATCAATGTCTTCTGCCATTTCATCATTGAGATCTTTTTCTGCCAAGGTGACAGGATTATATATAATAGTATGCTGTGTTCAATAAGTGTATGATGTTCTTAACTTGTAAGTGATATAGTATTTATCTATGTAAATCATTTAAAATCCAAAGTTAGTTATATATAAATATAATATACATAGTTGTAATTACCTGAATATCTACAATTTATTAAATGGTTACTATGCACCAATGACTGTGTGAAAAGTAACAATAAGGTAATGTCATCCAGTCACTGAGCGAATTTTTATTGAAGGCCTTTTCTATGCCAGACATTACTAGGTAAAGAACAGTGAACTAAGCAGGATACCAGCTCTCATGGAACTTAGCTCTTAATGTCATGCTTGAAATCAGTACTCTCCTAAGATTTTGAGAGCATTCATTCATAACTAGAGATCTAAGGCATGGTGGTGCACACCTGTGAGGCCAAAAAAAAAAAGTTCTAACCACTCAATAAAACAGCAACTCTGCTTCCACCCCAAAATACACCTACGAGGATACCGTCTCTTCTGTAGTTCCAATCTAGTCTGATTCACAGGAGTACTTCATATTTGCTGAATGAAGGTCCAGGTTCAAACTCAATAAGGTTACAGTGAGCCTTAAGGTCCTGCAGTTATGTAACAAAACTACGATTTAGTCCTAGGTCTGTCTGGTCAGCCCAAGTCTGTGGTCTTAACCACTGGAGTCTGTCTTCTTTCTTACCTGTGCTGTCTTATGTTTGTTTCATTTTGGGGGGAGGGTTTTGTTCTTTGGAATTAAGCCAAGGGTCTCACACATGTTAGGCAAGTGCTGCACCACTTGGTCCACGTCCCCATCACCTGTGGTGATGAAGAGTAGGAACATCTTTGTTTCACTGCATGTTGTCAGATTTTTTTTTTTAATAGGGTTTTGTACTTTCACTTGGCTGACCTCAGGCTGCGATCCTTCTACCTGATTTTAAATGCTCAATTTAAGTATGTCCACTAGATGGCAACCCTCTATTTTAAAGTCAGTTCTACAAAATTAAAAATATGTAGAAATTGACATATCAAATGTTTGTACACCTGAAATCCAGCCTAAGTGTTAATGTTTTGTTACCTTTCTGAAGAAAAAAATGCACAACTAGATGAGTCCCCACAAGCCTGGTCCTATTTCCTTCTGTAAACTAGCCCGTGTTTTCATGTTTAGTACATGTTCTCAAAAATGATTGTAGGGTTTTGTTTTTTTTTAAAGCAGTTTATAAATGATCCTATAAGCAGGGTCTCTGGAACCAAAGGGATGTAAATATACAGCTTTTCTTAAAATTGAAGGTGTTTATGCTCAAGATGAAACCAGATTCTCCTTGGGGCAAGAGATGTGCTTATGTGTACAAAGCAAAAAACAACACAGTAACTCCTGGCAGCAAACCAAACAAAACCAGAGTAATCTGGGGAAAGGTAACTCAGGCCCTGGAAACAGTGGCATGGTTCAGGTCAAGTTTCGAAGCAACCATCCTGCTAAGGCCACTGGACACAGGATCCGTGTGATGCTGCACCCCCGCCCCCACCCCCCACCCCAGGGATTTAAACCAATGAAAAGTAAATAAGTGAGTTTGTGCTCTTGTAGTTTAAAAATAAATAAGTGGCCCTTTAACATTGTCCCATTCTATAAATGAAGGGTAACTAGATCAATGAAAACTTTTTTTTTTTTTTTTTGGTGGTACTAGGGCTTGAACTCAAGAGCCTAACGCTAGCCAGGCAGGTGCTCTACCACTTGAACCACACCTCCAGCCCACATATCAATGAAAACTTAATGGAGATTTTAGTTATGGTCATTCTTTTTTTCTCCCAAAATAATTGAAACAGTGTCAAAGCTTTTTCCCCCCAACTGAGAATTCTTGAAATTTAATAGCACATCTGAAAAAGCTGCTTGGCCTCTACCAAAATTTTTAATTCAGAAAACCTTACACAAATAAGACTTAGACTAAGTATACAAAACACTGAACAATAACTGCCTTAGATTTTTTAGCATTTTTTTTGGTCGGGGGGAGTTTATTGAGATAGAAAAGTAGCAAAGAGTGGAGCTCCCAGAGCTGGGAGGGATCCCAAGAGAGAGATTGCCCCTTTGTTCACTGTTTCGTTCAAAGATAATCAAATATAATTTCTATGAATTGATTGTATAAAACATTGTCCCAGGTGAAGGATAACAAATATGAACCATGATCTTTCACAAGTTCAAGTTCTACTTGGGAATTGGCAAAGAGCCTTCTTATTTTTACAGTATCACAGTCCTATAGAATAGGATTCTATTCTCAGTAAAGATATTCATCAATCCAACAGAACACAGGAAGGAGGGAGAAAAAAGCAAGCAGGTGTGACAAACAGACCAAAATAAGATGGTAGAAACAAAGCTCTATGTGTCTGTAATCATAATAGATAAATGAACTGGGCTTTTTAGTTGAATGACACAGATTGTCAGGTTGAATTAGGAAACAAAATCCCACTATACGGTGTTTATAAGATGTAAATCTAAAATAAAAAGAAACAGCAAAATTGAAGATTTGGTACTTCAAGCAAAAGTATGAAAAATGTTATACCAAACACTAGCCAGAAGAGAGAATAGAGCATGAAGGAAAAATTGTTACTTGGGAGATAAAACACATCTAAATTTGAGGGTAAGGATGTTATGCAAAATATATAACTACAATGAGAAGGACAACTTAAAATATTAGATATTTTTTATACAAAAAGCAGGAAAATAATCTGCAAAGATACAGATTGAACAGTGAACAAACTTGACCTAATAACCTGTATTTCAAAGTGAGCCACTGATGATGTTAAAGTACACTGGTATTTTAAGTACCACTAAGAAAAAACACAGGACGGGATGGGGTGGGTGGTAAGGGAGGGGGTAGGGGCAGGGGGGGAGAAATGACCCAAGCATTGTATGTACATACGAGTAATAAAAAAAGAAAAGAAAAAACACTTGTCAAGTAAATTATGACATGCCATGGTGGTAAGATGTGTACTAATTTTAGACTTTTTTTTTTTTTTTTTTTTGGTACTGGGGATCAGAGCCTTGTGCATGCTAGGTAAATACTCAACCACAATTGAGTATTTGTATCAAGCTACATCCCCAGCCCAATTTTAGGGATGCTTAAATGTGAAAAATGTGCATCTATAATTACTGAAATTCAAGATAGGATATATAAACTTCA